ACAGTGGCTTAGTGGCTAAGATGCTGAGCTTCTCGATCAAAAAGGTCAGCAGTTCAAATCTCTAGCAACGCGTAACAGTGAGCTCCCGTTACTTGTCCCAGCTTCTGCCAACCTAACTGTTCGAAAGCACATAAAAAATGCAAGTAGAAAAATAGGGACCACCTTTGGTGGGAAGGTAACAGTGTTCCGTGTGCCTTTGGCATTTAGTCATGCCGGCCACATGGCCATGGAGACGTCTTCGGATAGTGCTGGCTGTTCGGCTTTGAAACAGAGATGAGCACCGCTCCCTAAAGTCAGGAACAACTAGCACATCTGTTCAAGGGGAACCTTTACCTTTACCTTGTTTCTCAGCTTGAGTTATTTATAAAAAAAGGATTAAAGATAAGATATGAGAAGAAAGAAAAAGAAAGGAAGAAAAAGAAAGAAATTTATGGCAGAGGGGAATCATCATCATTATCTATCTCCCAGTGATGCAGTTCTATGAAAGAAAAGTATTATTATTTGTAGACATGTAATACCTGAAAACAGGTTCATTTGCATAATGATCTACTATATGAACCACTGGAATCTTGAAAAAATTGTCTTGTGTCAAGAGCAAGAAATAGGATATTTTCTTTGTTGATCCCAGAACTATGAAACACTCTTGTTAGACATACGCCTACATCTATGACTATTCTAAATTATATTCTTAAAATTGGTTGTTTAGCATACCGTAGTTTTTAGTTTAATTGAGACTCGGTATGGCTATTAAAGAAAGATTACAATCTTCCTGCCAATTCTCAGCAAGTTTTGATGTTTTTACAATTAATATGTATCTTATTTTTATTTTAAATGTTGAGATTTTAATATGTGAACAGGCTTAAAATAATTCTGCAGCTATGAAAGAACTAACCCTAGAACAATCCTTTATATATGGTTATCAATATACCTTCTGAGGTACATTGCAGATAGTTCTTGACTTACGACATTCATTTAGTGACCATTCAATGTTACAACAGCACTGAAAAATGTGACTTACAACCAGTCCTCACACAACTGCTGCAAAATCCTCATGGTCATATGATCGAAATTTAGTTGCTTGGCGTCCAGCATGTATTTACAATGATTGTAGCATCCCGGGGTATGTGGCCATTAACAACTTTGCAGTCAGCTCCTGGCAAGCAAAGTTAATGGTGAAAGCAGGATTCACTTGAAGACCTCAGGGTGCATTGAACAACTGCAGTGATTCACTTAACAACCATGGCAAAAAGGTCACAAAACTGGGTGCAACTCACTTAACAACCACCTTAACAAAAAGAAATTCTGAACTCACTCGTAGGTTGAGAATTACCTGTAGTAGGCAGAGAACTTGTTTATTATATAACTATTAAAAATCCATCAGACCTTTTCATTAAAACACTCTGCATAGGTAGGTGCCAATTGGTCCTTTGAGTAATTTGGTATCATTACTTTCCCCACAATGTCCTGAAATCCAGGTTTTATCTGCTGATAAAAATAGGAGATATACAAGAGATTACGGTCATCCATTCCTTCTGTTTGGCAACTCAAGTAACTCCAATCTTTTCCTAAAGCCACATTAGTCATAGTAAAAAAGGAGTAGTGTTATATAAAGGCAGTCATAGGAAGAAACATTACATCTGAATTAATGCTTCATTGCAAACAATATATGGACCGAAAGTAAAAGTTACATAGCTTGCTCAGTAGCTAAATATTAAAACATTCCATTTATATTCATTGTTTAGCAGCACTTACTGTTCCATAAAATTTAAGCCAATTTTATTTAGAATAAAGGATTCCTGAGTGCTTTAGAGAATACTTTTACAAACAGAAGTGGCCACTGGTGAACATTCTTAAGTGTTCTGGCATTGCCTGCCTACGCATTCCTTTGCAACAAAATTTGACATTCTGATAAGTCTTTTGGATTCTGTTCAAGAATAAAACTATTTAAATGCCAAATAGAGAACTGATGTGCTATATGAATTGTAGCACTAAAAATCTTACCCTGTTTCCCTGAAAATAAGACCTCCCCAGATAACAAGCCCAATTAAAATAAGCCCTGCCCCCAAAATAAGCCATCCCCGAAAATACTGCAACACAGCAGCAGCCATGAGGTTATCACGCTTGCCACCTCCTGCACCTCAAAAATAATAAGACCTCCCTGAAAATAAGGCCAACTGCTTATTTCAGGGGTCAAAAGAAAATAAGACGATGTTCTTATTTTCAGGGAAACACGGTATTTATTCAACCAAGGTGATTTTATATGTTATGTATGTTAGATGTCAAAAACTTGTTACATTTTTGTAGATTCCAACAGAATGGTATAATATACTGTGTATGTGTGTGTGTGTACTGTATGTATAAATATAAAACATTCTAATTGTTTAGATTTTCTAAAATAATTGGTAATCCATTTTAAATTACTGTATATAAAGCCTATTAACTGATGACTGAAAATATTCATGAGCTTATGGAGAATAAATGTGAAAACAAATATAGCTTCACAGTTGGTATATTTTTTTCAGTCCATGTAATTTTAATTTAGATATTTTAGACAAACTAACAAGCTATTGATAGTTTTTATGAAATGGTTAGGCCCTTTTTGAACTAAGAAAATAATTGCTGTAGTTTTCTGGAGATTTGGAACTTTGAAATCCTGATATGGTTTCAGTTGGATTTTCTGAAAAAATCAAAGTTCTGAAGTTTGAGATTTTTCTGATGAGAAACTGACTTTCAGACAATCATTTGAAATGGAGGGCAAGAGGGTATTTCTTTTGAAAAATCTGGATTGAAATAATTTTACCTGCATAGATCAGCCTACTTTAAGACTTTTGAGAGGTTACAAAAAGAATATAATGTTTAAAGTTGTGGAATGACAATACGTTCAACGTATTTGTTAATTTCCCATAACATATGTTGCTGGTGGTCACAGAAATTCCTGAGTCTGTTAAAGGTTTTTAGAAGCTAAATTAACAATTTAATTTTAACAAATGAAGGCTCTTATATGTTAAAAATGTACATGAAATTTGGAATACTTAGGATATCTGATTCCCCTAAGTCAATGGCCTGACTTTTAAAAATGTTGTTTCTCATGATCTTAAGATGAAACTAATTTGGGGTGATATTGGACTCCTCAGCAAGTATTTAAAAAGGATTGGCTTTCTATGTTGAAAAAAGTTATGACTTGGTCATGCCCTCTGGTTGAATATTCTTAATATTGTAAATATATTTTTATCAGGTGTATTAAGATTCAAATATCTGAATGTTTCACTGTCTGTATTCCTAAATTGTTACTACAGAATTACTACAACAGCAAACATTACAGGGGAAACCTTTAGTTCTTTGTAAAACTATCAAATAACCACAGTGCAGCCATTGTTTTGTGTAGTTCGCTTGCTCTATTTTCTGGTAGTTATAAAGTTAGTTTCAATCATTGCAATAAGTCATGATTAATTGGTTGTATTGGTAATAAGCCATAGCATATTTAGTTTGCTTGCTTATTATATTCTCAGCTATTATGATTTGTAAACTATTTATAAAGTAGGACAATGTGGATCCAGCCAACTGTTATACACAAAACACTATTAAAAGAACAAACATTGTTATTGAGTCGAAGCAAATCAGTTACATAGAACAGCTAATATACTGCATGTGGTTTACAAATTTCAGTAGTAAAGTTCCACAATACACTAAATCAAAACCAAACAAATCACATTATTTAGTCAATGTGTCATCTAGATATTTTAAATATTTTAAAATTTAGGTATTTTAAGTATTTATCTATTTTGTATTAATTAGGAAACAAACTACTTAGTTGTGATGCAAGCCAAAAACTACATATCATGGATATCTAGAATTAAAGATATTTGTAGCAAACATTACAAGTAAATTATCACTTTTATATAACTTTAAATTTATATAAATATTTTTATATATTTATATTTTTTACTCTATCCATCTAACCGATGAGGTGGCTCTGGGCAGGGTAAAACATCTAAGAGCCAAATTCCTTCACAAAAATAATTCTTAAAAGCCAATCAATGTAGCTTTTTAAAAAACATTGAGAATTCGTACACATTACTTTATTCTCATTATGTAAATCCTAAACCCAATTTCTTTCATATCTTAACTCAGTGAAACATGACACAGATTTCTGAAATGATTTTTAGTTTAAAATATTTGCAAGTTCTAGAGAAAAAGCATGGGAACAAATATGGTAATGCTATGAAAGCTGAGATTATTCCTGCATTATTTTTTTAATCCAATTATTGTTCAAAGCCTAGTGATGCTGTTACCTAAGTAACTCTAGGTACAAGTACAGTTACATAATCTTTAGGCTTTAGCCTTATAGCTGCATATAGTTTTTGACTGCGTCAACATATACAGAATATTATGATCTCTATTAAAAAATATATTCTGATTTTGAAGTGACAGAATACAATCCCTAATGAATGAAAGGCTGATCACTAGCACGATTTTGCAAATTCTTGAGTTCATCTTATGCCATAATGAATTCTTATATATTTTGCACTAGCAGAGTATCTTTGGTTTTATTTTTTGCCTATAAAGCTGTAATGTAAAAACTAAATATGTCTGCCTCTATTAGTAAAAAAAAAAAGTATGTTTGGATTTAACTCCCATGTATCCAAGAGCAACACCAAGCACGGAAGTATAGAAAACTGTGATGTAATGTTTTCTCATCTCAAAGTACATCAGCCAAGAAACTCCAAACCCACCCCCCTAAAAAAAAAACATATTGAAGAAGCCAGCAGCTTTGTACAAAACATACAGGACAATATATACAGTACTTGAATTGTATCTTGCTGCTGCATCTGACACCATTTATATTGAAATTGTACACTTATTTAGAAAATGGAGCTCTCTAGTATAACTGAATGTGGTATAGAATCTGAATTTTAATCAAGCAGCCCTGTGTTACTGTAAACGATTCGGGTGTCAGCCCTTGGACTGTTGATGAAACATCATCTACACATACAGTTGAATAATTTCAAATACATAAAATTATTTTTTATTGTTAATGGAAAACATTCCTTAAAAGCAAGACAACACATATACACTTTCAATACATTGACGGTATTTTAGTTATTTCACACAGATTGTGTTTCAAATACAGTGAGAAAAATCTTACCTATTTTAATAACCTAAGCAAGCAATTCACTGAAATGGGAACTCAAGTACATATGATAAATCATAACATAAACTGCAGGCAAAGTTCATGCAAGGTTTGTGATCTCATTTGGTGATCCTCTTGTTTCAGGCTTTTCAAAATACAAAATTGGATTTGGTTCGATAAATTGCTAGAATTTCACTTTTCTAGCTGAATATTTTCCATTTTTATTCCTTTCTGTCTTAAAAATGACATTCTGTGCAATCCAGAACAAGCTTATTAATTTGGCAGTAGTGCTGCTATTTTGGTAAAGTAATTATAAAGGTTACATTGCAACACAGTTAAGCAAACACAAAACTGTTTAATTAATTAGTAGCTTAAATGCATTTAACGATGCATCAAATTGTTGCCATCAAGTTTACTGTATGTTGACATAGTTTTATACACTGAAATTCAACATCAGTGTCTACATTGCCAATGCAATGTATTTGGAGATTTCTGAATTTTCAAAACCAACTTCATTCAGTTTGCAGTTCATTAAGGAATTCTTTTGATGGTTCAGCATTCTCCTCTGGCACATTACCAGCTTCTTCATTCTGCTGGCTCTGATTCGGTGGCTCAGAAGCAATATCCAACTGTTTTTTTACTTCTTCACTATGGCGGCTTTGGCAATGGGTTAGATGTTTCTTAAACCCTCTAGGGAAATTCGACTCAAAATTGCAACGTGGACATTTAAGCAAACTCTGACTATGAGAAGCAACATGATTCTTAAGGTGAGATTCCAAAAGAAATGCCTTTCCACACACATCACATTTGTATGGGCTATGCACATTATGTTTATTAACCAAATGGTGCAAAACAGCTCCCTTTTTCATAGCCCGGCAGCAACAGATTTTACAATAGTATTTCCCTTTGCCACGCTTCATATATTTTGCTATCTCTTCTTCTGAGATGAAAGCTTCCTTCTCTTCTGTAAACTGCAACACACACTGAGGCGGAGTGGGAGTAGCATCAATTTTAGTTTCTTTATTTTGGTCAGGAGACTCTGTATCAAATTGTTCCTGATCACTGTTGGATTCCTGTTCCTTTATGTCTGATGTTTCCATCTCAGTATTTCCACTTTCATTACTATTAAACTCTGTATTAGAAATCTCAGGATTTTCTTTCTTGGCTTTTTTCTTTGGACAGGTATATATTTCTTCTGCAGGTTCCTTGGGTTGTATGGGCTGTTGTTTTGGAATTAACAAACTACTGAATGGATTTTCTCCTTCTGGATGCTCAGTGAAGAAATCTTTATTACTGGATTCGTTAAGAGTCTGCAGGTCTGAAAAAACAGGTGCAGCAGGTGGACTGAAATCATTGATAGTTTTGTGAACTTCCTTGCCTATTGCTTCAACTGGTTTGTGGGTATCTGTATTCTGTACTGGCTTCTGATCTGAAGAAATTGATTTCTGGACTTCAGGTGAAAGTGAATGTTTTGGGGGTTCTGCAAAGAAACTTTGTTTCTCGAGGGAATCAGGAGATGGCTTCTGCAGTTCAGCAAAGGTACCATGTTTCTGGATTTCAGGAGAAACTGCAGGAGACTTCAACAATTCATGTGAGAGAGTAGGTGACTTCTGAGAGTCTGAGAAGGGAGCATGCTCCTGGATTTCAGGAGAAACAACCGCATGTTTCTGAGAATCTGGGAAGAAGGAATGTTTTGGGACATCTGGGGAGACAGGAGTTGGTCTATGAGATTCTGAAAATACAACCGGTTTGGGGGTTTCAGGAAAAGGTATGTGAGCTTCATGGAAGAAGGAACGTTTTTGCATGTCTGTGGAAACAGGAGGTACAGATTTTTTGGATTCAGGAAACAGGGCCCGTTTTCGGGATTCAGGAAACAAAGCACGTTTCTGCAACTCAGAAGAAATAAAAGTAGTCGGCTTTTGAGGCTCTGGGAAGAAAGGTGATTTTCTGGACTCGGAGGAAAATTTCCAAGGATCAGAAGATATAGAAGGGGTAGGCTTACGTTGCTCAGAAAAGAAGGGCTGTTTCCAAATATCAGGTGACATAGGGGGGCCAGGTTTCCTCAGTTCTGCAGGCATTGGAGGAGGAGCCGGTGGTGCTATGGATGGTGACGGCCTCCATGTGTCAGGAGACAAAACAGGTTTCCAACCTTCAGGATAAACAGAAGAAATGGGTTTCCAGGGTTCTGAGGAAGCAAGACTAGATTTTGGAGATTCAGGCATGGGGGTAGATTTCCAAGTATCAGGCATAAACTTCTGAGATTCTGAGGACATCATATTTCCAGGCCTTCGGGATTCTGAAGCAGGTTTCCTGGGCTCAAGTGATATTGATGTCTGTGGTTTGGGGGACCAAGGTGAAATAGTGATAGATTTCTGCTGATCATGTGAAATACTACCAGCAGATCGCCAGGTTTCTGGAACAGGTCTCCAGGGATCTGGAGACAGTGGAGGGTCAGGTTTACGTGGTTCGGGTGAAAGTGCTGAAGGAGGCCTCCTCATTTGAGAAATATGCCTACGAGCGTCTGTGGATAAACCAGCAATAGGCTTCTTAAGTTCTGGAGATACAGCTGGCGAGTGCCTGCGGGGCTCTGGAGATACAGCTGGTGAGTGCTTGCGGGGCTCTGGAGACACATTTGGAGAGTGTCTACGAGGCTCTGGAGACACAGCTGGAGCAAATTTCTGTGTTTCAGACATAACCACAGGTGGAGATGCAGGCTGGGCAGACTTTTGGGCCTCTGGCGATACAGGTGGAATGGGTTTCTGTGGTTCTGAAGATATAAAGGAAGCGGATTTTTCTGATTCTACAACAGGGAGGCTTTTTTGAGTTTCAATGTATGTAGGTGTGACAGGTTTCTGTTGCTCTAATAATAAAGCAGGGAGAGATTTTGGTATCTCTGCAATATCTACTGAAGCAGGCTTCAGTGGTTCTGGAGTGACGGAAAGGGGGGGTTTCAGTGTTTCTGAGGACACAAGTGAAACAGGATTTGGAAGTTCTGGTACAACAGGAGCAGGTTTTTGTGCCTCCAAACATGCAACTGAAACAAACTTTTGATGTTCTATGGTTGTTGATGAAGTAGGCTTCTGTATCTTAGAATGTAGTCCCACATCAGACTTTGGCAGTTCAGGAGGAGCAGGCTTTTGAGAATCGGGAGACACAGTGCGTTTTTGTGTTTCAGGAGACTGAGAAGGCTTTTGAGGTTCCACAAAGATAGGCTTTTTGAGGGATTCAGTTTCCAACACACCTTTCTGGTTTTCCTTCTGTTTGTCTGACAATGAATGTTGTGCCGTGATATGATAATAGACATTACAGTACATTTTGCTGGTAAAAAAGCATTTGTGGCAGTGAAATAACTTTGCACTTTTCTGGTAAAATATAAGTTTCCCTAATCCTGCAGTATCCATTTCATCACAGAACTCAGGGTGAATTGTACCCATATGAATTTGTATATTCTCATAGTCAGAGCCTCTGAAATTACAGTGATCGCATTCTAGGCGTTCTGTTGTTTTATGCAAAATCTTCAACATGTCCATTTTTCTACTGTCAGCTTGCATAACACTACACATGTTCCAAACCGCAAACTGCACTATACCTGAAATAAAAGGTTTTTAAAAAAAATTAGTTCATAAATTGTTGAAATATAATTCAACTCTTAAATGATTGCTCAATTATTGTTAAAATATAATTGATTTTTGAATGGCAGCTTACCCAAAGAAAAAAAATTAAATGTTATACTGCCACAATCCAACTAGAGAAGAGCATGTTAATATTGTCAACCTTTCATTCTTTATAAAGTTTTAATATAAAATCTCTTCACTGTTTACAGAAGCATCAACATACTTATGAATTCAAGCTGTTTTTACCAGCTCCACATGGCTCACTTGGTTGCAGAAAGACTAAAAAGCAAACATTGTATAAAGAACACCTAACCAGTTCTAGTCTCTAAAAGAAAAAGAAAGGAGCTATTATTAATAGATTCTTCTTTGTCCATTGATTTAAATATGTGGGTTGTGAATTGGATTTATAGTGTTGTTCTCAATTTGCCTGTCGATGTACTTTATACTATTTTTGGAGGGGGTCATATAAGCAGCCTGATTGAATGTTCCATAAACAAACCCCAGATGGAAGAATATATAACAACTCATTTTATGTTTGCAACTTGTGCTCAATACCAAATGTATTTCAAAGTATTATATTCTATTTAAAATAGTGAAACATGTTGAGACCTTATTTCAAAATTGGCAATTATAACTAAAAGACAGATTATTTATTTAATGTTTATATTGCTTCAAACTTATCCAACTCTATTAGAATAGATACCATAGTGCTTATTAGCACAACTTAGCAGATTCAGGAGGCATAATGGAGATGGAAGGGAAAAACAAAGTGTTGGATTGCACAAATAGAAGTCTACTGATGCTATGTTAAAAATAATCCAAAATACCTAAATTATTTTCTGCAATTATATACAATGCATTTTATTATACAATATGTACAGCGATGGGATTCAAAATTTTCGCTACCGGTTTGGTGGGCGTGGCTAGGTGGGGGAAAGCATGTGACTGAGTGGGCATGGCCAACATGACATCACTCACCCCCACACCCAATATCAAAATGGTCAAAAGCTTTTGAATTCTGTGTTCTGCTTTGCAGAAGAAATACTGTTTCCTTTACACAGTTCAACCATTTAGAGATTAAAGCATTTAACAGTTTAGTTTACAGAGAACAACTGTAATGAGTACTTTAAGTACTTGATTGCTATTTATAATGGTTTTGCAGAAAACTAGTGTTTACTTAATTTCCAGCAAAAAATAGCCCATATAGGTTTGCCTAACGACTTAAGCATTTGCCACCACAAAAAAGTCATAAAGGTGGGTTGGAGTCACATTTTATGACCATCATGACTTAATACCATAATTGCCAGGTTCATTTATGGTCATAAGTTGAAGACTATCTGTAATAAAAAAAAACCTGCTCAGCTAAACATCTTTTAGATTTTTTTTTAAATCCTGTATTTAGACACTATCATTCAGTTTACTTTTTTGCTGTGACTTAAATTTTAAAATGCTTAATTGTAGTATCTTGAATGTTATCATAAGCAATAAAATAATGCAGCCATCTTGAGAAACAGCATATAAATTGTTTAAATATGTGAGGCTGCATTATGCGCAGAGGACAATTGGACAGGAATTGCTGGTAGTAGTAGACGAATACTCAAATACCTGGTACCTGATAATGTTTCCAATAAATCTATGCTATTTTGGCACATCAAATTAAGTCCCACACATTGGCTCAACAGGTTTAGAAATGGCAGGGTTCAGTGCTCCAAACATTTCTCCTTCCTTGCGGATTGGTTAATTGATCTGCAACTCAATTTCTGAGTGCTCAGGAAAATCAAATAAACTGTCTCAGATTATGAGCTGTAAAACCCTAGACAACATTTTAACCACATATGCCTTATGGCTAGCCTTTAAAATATAATTACAATGTTTTGAAACAGTGGGATAAATCTGGTTTTTTTCCCCCTAAGGGTTTTATGGAGAGGCAAAATGTTGAGAATAGTAGAAAGGCATGCAATATTTTACTTTAAAATATTTTAAATATTTGCTGTATGCAAACTAATCCTAAAAGATGTGTGACTTCGCATTAAGAGCAATTTAAAATACAATTGATCATATATGCATGACAGTTTAAAGCAGTGTTTCCCAACCTTGACAACTTGAAGGTGTCCGGACTTCAACTCCCAGAATTCCCCAGGCAGCATTCGCTGGCTGGGGAATTCTGGGAGCTGAAGTCCGGACACCTTCAAGTTGCCACGGATGAGAACAATGTTTTAAACGCTGCCTGCATCCTTGTGCCCTCCAGATACGCTAGAGGGGAGCTGAGGTCTGGCGCACCTGGAGAGCTCCCCAAACCCAGAAAAGGTTTGTATTGGCTGGATGCAAGAAAACATGCTGTAATCTGACACCATTTCTCTTTTCCGTCGCCCCCAGAAATCGATAAATCGCGCCGTCCGGTTAAATTTAAGCTCAAGACTGAATTCTGGCAGGGATCCGATACGGCCCTGCATGGAGGTAGCGGGGGGGGGGCAGCACTCCCGCGACTCCCATAGTGAAAACGTGAGGCAAAAACGCCTGAAACTGGGCAGTTGGGCGCAGAACGCGCTCTGGACGGAAAAGCGGAAGGGACAAACCTGGCGTGGTAGGAACGCGAAAAGCGGAGCAGGGAGGGGCGGGACGGGGGAGGGTGGAAAAGAGGGAGACTCCAGAGCGATGCTGAGCCCGAGCCTCGCAGAGGCGCCCTTCCCGGTTCCTTTTCCCTCCGAAGAGTAACCCACCCTCCCTCCCGTTGTCAGGCAAAGCGAAGGGCAATATACCTACCAGGAGAAAACGACCGTTTACGGAGGGAGGAGAGAGAGAGACGCTCTGACCGAACAGCCTCTCGGCAATGGCGACAGAATCTACAGAGCACGGAGATGGGGGCGGGGAGCGGGGGGCCACCGCAGTGGATGGGACAAAGAAAAAGAGGCCTGACGCCACCGAAGAACCGGTTTTTGATTGGCTAGTGTCGCCCACTTGATTTTTCCTCAACGGCGGCGGCTTGGAAATAGCCCCTCCTCCGCTGTGAAGCTTGGCGCAGGCGCCAGGCAAAAGAGGACGGCGCCCCCTGAGGGCGAAGCGGCTCGCGCGCTTAATTAATGTTTAAAAGCACATTAAAGTTTATATACCACAATACATTTTAGTGTTTCATATGTCACTAGGCTTTGGTAACTTCACACAAAATAATTTTACACAATGAAGATTTGACTTTGGCTTACCACCAGCGTGCTTCTACAACTTGCCATTATTAAAATAATTAACATGATGATAAGGGGGGGGGGGGGTAAACATGTTTTAAAATTAAAGCTAGGGATTTTGTCCCATCTCTTTAACTATTCAACTGCAACCTCATGCAGTTTTACAAATGCAACATATTCAGAGTGCAAGTGTGGCTCATGCTTAGAAAAAATAGTTTGTTTAGTTTGATATATGAATCCAAAATTGTGACTTGTAGCAAATGAATTAGCAAGCATATTGTGCAAATACTGGAAATTGTATGCAGGTAGTCCCTGATTATCAAGGGGTTGGATGGAATCAAGTGAGCCTTCAAGTGACCATGCCTGATTATATTAACATTTTTGCTGTGGTTATTAAGTAAATCTGGCTTTCTCTATTGACTTTGTCAGAAACCCACTGCGAAAATTGCAAATGGTAATCACATCACTGCAGGAGGCTGCAACCATTGCCAAGAACCCAAATTTTGATCATGTCATGTCAGAGGTGCTGTGATGGTCATAATTAGGACTGGTCATAAGTTACTTTTAGTGCTGTCATAACTTTCAATGGTCAGTCAATGAATGGTCATAAATTGAGGACTACCTGTATCAAAGCTGGCCTTCGTTGTATGAACAATGACAATGAGTTCCATACCCAATTAGTTCAGAAGCTCATCACTTTTGGACCTGCAAGTTGAGGGTTTTTTTAAAAAAAAAACCCTTAGCAAATGGATTAGTATAAATGTATGAAGACAATCCATGTAGGACTGAATTGTAAGGGGAAAAAATTCAGGGAAGAGGAAAGAAAACCTAGTTTCATGTATCACTCAAGATTATTTAAAAGATAATCTCAGAATTCTGAATAAGGGCTAATTGTTACATAGAAACTCAATTTCAAATCTGGAATAAAGAAAAAGTTCATGTTCTGAAAACACAAGCAACTCCTCAGTGTGTTTTGAATCAAATTATGCAGTATTACCTAGTGGTTGAAAGAAACCGAGGCTCCAAAATGTAAAATCACTTTGCAAGTTGTAAAAGTTCAACTTAAAGTAAAAACCTAAAGTTGTATTTTCCAAGGCTCGTAAAACTGGTATGGCCACAGTTACTATGGTTAATTTGGTTTTCCTTTTCCTTTAGGTAAAGAGGGTTATCCAGGGTTTTTTTTGTCGACTAAAGCATATTCTGCTGACCTCTAGTGGCTGACAACTTTACAATCAATAGTAAACTATTAGAACTTAAGTACTGTACAGATTGGTCTGAGAAATTAGATAAACCTATTAAGAGATTTTCTCTCTCTTTTACTTAGATAAAACATTGAAAGAAAAGAAAGTATGTGTCAGTGTAAACAACAATATTCAAAGTGCAGAAGTCACATATATGTCTGGACTTGAGAATTATTTAAGTTCCTTTTAAAAATATGCTATGACTTATTTTATTTATATCTCACCTGTATTATTTTTACAAATTAATTCAAAGCAGCAAACATACCCAACACACTCTCCTCTTCCTATTTTCCCCACAACAATCCAATGAGGTGAATTGGGCTGAGAGTGTGTGCCTGGCCCAAGGTCACTCAGCTGCCTTTCATGGCCAAGGCAGGACTTGAATCTATGTGCCTTTGCTTTCTAACCAGGTGCCTTAATCACTAGACCTAGGCTCTCTTATTAAAGCCCATAAGTGATTATTCCATATAAGAGAAAGAATTAGTGTAACTGGAAGACCATGAGTTCTAGTCCTTCCTTGAACACAAAGCCAGTCAGATGATCTTATGCTGGTCACTTTCTCTCAGTCCACTTTTGAAAAACCTTACCAAGGGCCTTGTCTTAGCAATCTCCAAAAATTGGACATGATTGAATGGAAGAAAAAAAAATCTATTTGTGTATTCTGGAGTTCAAGGTAATGTTCAAAGAATTTCATTGTTCATTTTTTTTCTGAAACCACCTCCCTATGACGATGATTAGCATGAGAGTGACTAGCCCAAATTCTCAGTGAGTTTCCATGGCTGGGGATGGAGCTGAAGGTGAGTCTTCCTGGTATTTATCCAAAACCATTCTAGAAAATATTTCTAATCCTAACTACAGCAACATAAAAGAGAACTATTGATGTGATTGAGCCAAGGTTAAATATTTCAAACTGCTGTTGATTTCAATGGAAGCCATCAACTACATGCAATTAAGTATGTCAAAAGTTTAATTGGAAGAAAGAGCCCATGAACTCAATGGCAAGTTTGGGCAAGTTTGTTTAGCAAATGCTAATTTGGTCTGCAAAGTTGCCATTTTAATTTTCAAGGTTTGAGTTGTATCTTACTGTAACTGGGAATCTCATATTGTACTGAGTTCTTTAAATAAGCAGTTTATTTTTCCCTCCACAATTCTTGGAGGTTGCTTGGACAAGATTCTTGGCAAGGTTTTTCAAATGTGGTTTGCCATTGCCACCTTCTGAGACCTGATGTTAACTAGTCATTGATGAAAAGTATGACTACAGATAGTCCTCAACATATGACTGGTTTGCCTCCCCAAAAAACTACATATAACCTAAGTTCAAAGTTCTGACATCCATACCCTACCCTTGGTACCGTAACTGCATTTATGGCTGTTTGCAGTGACTTGTGCTTGCATGACCACAATTTACATTTTTGTTTCTGGAGGATTAAGGATTGCTTAATGAATGCAGTTTAACAACCACCAAAAAAATCTCATAACATTAGGTGCAGTCACATGGTGGTCTACTTTATGACCATCATAACTCATGACCAGAATTGCAGACTCACTTGTGGTCATAAGTCAAAGACTACCTGTATATGATGTCTGGTAAGAAAAGAACCATTATTGTTATTAGTAGTTTTGTATTCAACCTTTCCTGCCAAAAAAGGTCCTTAAAATGGCTAATAACAGAAAATGAAACTAGAAAGCAAATAAATGCAAATATTAAAAGTTCCAAATAAAAACACGCTTCTAGACATTATTAAAATGCACAATACATTATCTAGGCTTATTCTGATGCTGTTTTGGAATGACCGTCATTTTTGTTACAATGTTTGCAATCTCCTGATTGTTGTCTAACTTATGTTTTGAAATTGTACATACCCAGAGTCACTTTGAGTGGTTGGCTTACAAATGTGATAAATACATACATTTTAGCTAGAACTGGGTAACCTGGAGCAAAACACTGTTTCGCAGCCAAGGAATCAGGCAATGGCAATCCACATGCCAAGAAAACTAACAAGTCCAGGTCATCAGGAATCAAGATTGACTCAAAGATAGGAAGGAAGGAAGGAATTATTATATTGCATGGTGTTATTTAAATTCCCCTCCCCAAAATTCAAACATTAAACAGACTCAGAGCTTTTCTTTTTTGTTTTTTACTATTGCCCAACTGGTGATGAAAACATTCACCAGAACCCTCCTTAGGTAAAGAAACAGGTCTCAGTAATGTAAACACAACCCAGCCATTTATTTCTTGAGCATATAAAATAGGCTGAGTTCAAGCTCTACAGAAGGCGTAGAAGCAACTTTGGGACACAGAATGTCTTCTCTACTGCAGGAGAAACTTTGTGAAATTCAAATTCAGGCTCCAGCTCCACAGAAAGATTTTCACTACTTCACCATCACAAAAACTGAGGTAGAATGGCATAGATCTCACTATTCTGAAATTAGAACTGTTACTGTATATTTGAAGAAAAAAGTGGAGATATGAGAAAGCTGCACTTTTTGATTTTCTGTGTAGTCAAGCATCTGTTAAGTCAGTTAAGAGACCAAAATCTCAGGTAAAAGAGATAGTAGTTCCAAACAGCCATTCTGACAGATATGCCCTGTTATGTCTCTATATATAAATCTGGTGGTGTGGTTGTAGTCATGGACTCAAAAACAAATGACAGCATTTGTGTGTCATTCTACTGTTTTCCTACACAATGTAATTTAAACACAAATGATTGCAAATGATGTTCTCGATTTCTTGCTTTGTGTTTAGATTTTTGACAAAATAGGAAAGGGATACTAACTTAATGTACTCTTTTTAAATTCCCAATGGTGTAGGTTATCTGGAGATCATGGCACATTACTTACCGACCTAATCAAGAAAAGATTTTTCCAAAGGAATTGAAGAAGACGCACAGAGATTTTCTATTGGATGAACAATTACATAGCAAGTATTAAGCAGGAAAATAATTGTGTACCTCTCTTTATTTCTCTATACACGTTTGCACACATGGTCATACTGCAATTCACTCAATTTAAATGAAATTAGAACTCAGTTTCCTGGCTTTTAGCCAATAGATTGGACTGGTTCTTTGCTATTGTTTGTTAATGTTATTGTTTGCAGCAGAGATTTGATCTTTGTTGCGCTATGATTGCTGCAGAAGCCAAAGGTACCGTATATGTTCCCATATGAATCACTCAAAGAAATTTTACCTTAAATGTAAATGGTATTTACCAGCATGACTCATCTTTTCCATAAAGTATAGCATCTGAACTTACAAAGATCTATTTTTTGCATACTATTTCTACTTATCTCTTATTCTTCTCACTTCTTATAACATCCTCATTTCTTTTGAAGCTGTTTTATATAATTTGCAAATCTGGGTCTCATGTTTTAGTTTAGTAGTGTAAGAAACAGCAGTGGCCCAGCAGCATTAAAGCAGCCACAACTCCCAAATTTCATTTCCTTCGGTGTACAGATCATGGATTTTGGAAACA